CTGGACCTTGTAGCTTTCCTAGGCCTTGAACCAGAGTTATGCTTAGGATCAGGCAAATGTTCCTCTTCGGACTTTCTTGAAGTGGCAGAGCAAGTCAGACGTTTCAAAGGAGACGGTAATAGGTAGTTAGCAAAAGAGCAAGAACTACCCTGTTGCCATGCTTTAGGAACAGAGAGTGATGAGATTGCATAAAAGTTGAGACTCAATGCAGAATGGATGACCATTTTCTCTCGCTTAAATACTCTGCTAGGAGGATTAAAAACTCTACGAGGGATAACTCCTAAAATACGAAACCTGTTGATAACACCAATTAAAATTAAGAACACAAATTTATCAACTCTTTTAAAGTACACAACACAAGATTAAAAACATATAAGACTAAACACTCGAACATCTACAACATAGTCTTGTGCACATATTAATTGTAAAAGTTAAAAGATAAATAGAAAAAGAAGAAAGTAGACTAGAATTACATTCAAAGTTAATATTGGCAACTTATGTGCTATATCTACTTCGGAGAAGCTAGTAAAACATGGTGTAGAAGCCATAATATTGATGTTGAGCATAGTACTAACTCTTTTGAAGTGTCAATCTCTTTCTTAATAGAAGAAATTAAGAGCATGATCATCAAAACGCTATAAACAGAAAAGGGAAAGGAACTACTGACGGGGAGTAGGGCGGACCAACAACAACAACAACAAACCCAGTGTAATCCCATAAATGGGGTCTTGGAAGCAGGGCGGACCGAACCTTTAAGAACATCTAATACCCAGAATCAGTGATATACATATACTTATACATGCACATGTACATATACTCCTACATATTATACACACACACACACACACACACACACACACACACACACACACACACGTGCCTTTGGCTACAGTTAAAAGCTATATTTTTTAAGCACTAGCGGTTAAAAGTCTAACGAGCAAAGAATCAAACATGTGGTGTGCACAAGTCATCAGACTATTCTTCCATACCTACTACTCTCGAGGGTACTTTAAATATGTATATAACTTCATGAAGACACCAATGGCAAGAAACAGCAGCAATTAATGCTTAATCAATCTGAGAATCAAAGTTTGTAATAACATATACCAAGCACCTTGCTAGGAGTTGTTACAATGCTACCTACCAAAATACTACTAAAAGGTTAGAAAGACAAAGAGACTACCTGAGAAAGAGTAAGCTTAATCTGAGGATTCTATTGTCCAGTCGCTACTTGCTTTAATCTTATAAGAAATAAGTGTAGTCAGTTCTAATCAAAATAGCAACTGTATGATTTCGAGAAAGGGGAGAGCAAAGGAAGAAGAAGAACCACTATCGATTTGCCCACTTTGAAAGAAGGAAAAAGGGAGCTATTCAGAAGAGAATATGACAAAATGGCCCCTTATCTTTGGTTACTTTCAAAATGGTCATCTAAGTTTGACAAAAGTGATCACTTTTGATTTCAATTACTATATTTAACGAACTTTGGCCGTTGTCTAGCTTTAAGCGGAACTATCTATCTATATTATTATAAAAGCACGAATAATTTATAATAAATATTGAATGATTAAATTATTCCTGAAACATTAATCGACATTTATAACCTTAAATATCCGTATAATTTAAGGCTATAATTGTAAATAATCTAATGCTGAAATTCTTTTTCGATAGTAAATCACACAGTGGGATCTGCATTTCTAAATCAAATAGGATTTATATCCCAAAGTGCAGCAAACAAAGAAGTGGGAAGACCTGTTTGAATAACCAACACGACAGACTGCGACTCAAAGCTTTTAAGGAATATCAAAAAAAAATATTAATCAATAGAGAGTTTGATTTTTATACGATTTGATATACATGATTTAGAAGATAGTAGCCAACTTCTTCTTGGACAACAAATGCTTTGGATAGTAGCCTTCTTATGAAAGCACGAATACAATATGATACTCCAAATTAGCCTTAGTAAATTAGTTTATTTGAGATAAAATTGTAATTAAGACTACGACGCCAGTAAAATTGCGAGAAGAGTTTGAATACTTGATAATTTAAAGTCAAAAGTCATATTTGTTTCCGTGTAGGAGAGTAGGAGACTAGATGTGTACTTATCCATTAGCTCTAGAATCCATAAATCACAAATTTATAAAAACTCTAGCCGATCACTGATCTGTTAAGAGAGGAGAACCTTCATGGTTGCAGAGAAGTTCTCAGAAGAAGCAAAAGATGGAAATGGAAATTTTACTGTTTTATTAATTTTTGATACCTCACAAGTGAAGAGGATGCATGGTTATATACATAATCTAACTAACTTAACTTACAGTTGTCCCTACATGATTGGACAGCTGGCTAACTACCCAACTAACACTAACTAACTTCTTAACATCCTCCCTCAAGCTGATGTTTGAAGATATCATTCAATCCCATCTTGGACATTAAGTGATCATGTCGCAGTCTTCCTAAGCTCTTGGTAAGGAGGTCAGCTTGCTGCTCTTTTGTGGGAATGTAATGAGTTTTCACTACACCGTGTATGATTTTTTCTCGTACAAAATACATGGTGCTAATTAGCTAAAAGAGTGAGAAGAATCCATCTATACTCTTCCTAACAAATATTTGATTAATTTGTCGAAATAAATAAAAAGGATTACAAGAATTACATTTTTTTGGATGAATTTTTCTGCAAAAATGAATGCTCTTCCTAATAAATAATTTACTGTTTTCTATTACCATTTTTTTTTTACTGATTTCTAGAAAAAATATGAATTACAAGAATTACCTAAATGTTTGTTTGTGATGACTGACGGGCAATAACGTGGCACGTTCATAGAGACTATTGAGGGGAAAAAAAGTTTTAACCAAAAACCACTACAAATACTCTAATAGAAACTGCACCAAAAGATGCACTAGGTTCCAGAAATAAATGAAAAATAATAGACGAGTGAGTTCTGGTTAAATCTTTTCTTCTTCCCATAAGATCTAACACGGGTTAATTTTGCTTGTAAATATGTAATAACTTCACATTATATGAAATTTGGAGTGGAATTGATTCCTAATGGTCTATCAGACAAGGGACTTGTTGGAGTTCAAGTTGCAGATCAAGTGCAACATTTTAAAATCAAATGAAAAATTACATGTGAATCAGCATATCAAGATGAGTAAATAAGAAGAAAAAAAAGAAAGAAAGAGGATACACACTGCAGCATCACTTATGGTGGATGGCATTCTTTTCAGAAGATATATGTAACAATTGTTGAGCCACACCTAACAAGTCAGGACTTAATCTAAACATCAAAATACAAAATTCAATCTGATTAAGAGCTCCATCACCATCCATATCTCCTTCCCCAATCATATTCTTTAACTCCTCTTCACTGAAATCTTGCAACCCTAGTAGCACAGAGTTCTTCTTTAGGCTATCAAGTGTGATCACACCCTTGTCACCATCCCATTAAAATTTTGTACCCTTTGCATATCAAGTGTGATCACACCCTAGCTTTCTGGCCATAATTGGTAGCAAATCTTGAAATTCTAAATACACCATCTTTGCTTTTCCTGCTTCTCAATGACAAAAGCTAGATGTTGTGCTTGTTGCAGAGTTAATGAGTGGATATTTATAGCATGGATGCAATATCTTCTTAAGGAAGTTTTCTGGTGAATATTGGAAAGCCATATTCCAATTAAAGACTAAGTCAGATGAGGAATTTCTCTACCTAGTATTTCTTAGAACTTGCGTTCAGGATCTTTGCTTGTTTGGAAATTCTATTTCAGACTTAGTCAGTCTTTTCATTCGTCAAAATGCCTTACAAAAGGAATTTTCAATGACGTCTGTTTGGCATGAGGATGGAACTCATTTTTTCATGGAATTTTTTCTATTAGAAAATGTTTAAAGTGTAGGTAGGTAAGTGAAAAATTCGAAATAGATATATATATATATATATTAAATTTCAATATTATTACCAAATTGGAGAGTGTTCTGATGAAATTCGTAAGTTGTAAGGATTATAATAATGTCAAAATGTTCGACGAATCAAATATTATGAAGTTAAAGGTTACAGTGATAAGGAAAATAACTTACAGGATTTCTTATTTTTGATGAAAAATATTTTCCTTGGGAAACATAATAACTTCTTCAATACTAGAAAATAGTGACTTCCATTATTATATTTATTTAAATACATACAAAAACATAAGTAGGCACGAGAAGATTTCATTATTCAAATTCGATCTCCAAGCAGGACCGTCGTCTCCTTTTCCCAGCGTCCATTAATGGATGAATTTGGGAAGTCATCTCCAATAATCTTCAATTCCCACAAAATCACTTACCTAGATAGGATCATAGGAGGAACTGGTCAGCCAAAGTTGTACTAGAGTCGCGCTATCTTTCGTTTTTGGATTCTTCTTTTTCCTTTTTCTTTTTCTTCATTTTCTTTTAATTTTTTATTCTATCACACTGAAATAGTAATTTCCAAAGCATAATTCGCTTGTTATTCGTGGAAAGGAAGATGATTGATAGTAGGGGTGGTAAACGGGCCAGTTGGGTCGGATATAAGCGGATCAAAAATAGGTAATTCAAAAAAGAACGAATTTATATGACTCGACCCGTACTTGGAAGAAATAAAAAACAGGTTATCCGGCGGATAATATGACTTCGATCTCCCAAACTTGAATAACCTCCGATACGGAGGTTATACAAATGTAAAAGTTAAACACATTAGTTATCCATTGATTATCCATTTGGTTGACCATTTTTCTAAGTGGATAATATGATTCTTATCCATATTCGACCCGTTTTTAAAAAGTTCATTATCCAATCATTTTTTAACGGATAATATGGGTGTATAACAATTTTTTTTTACCATTTTGCCACTTCTAATTGATAGTCAAGTAAAATTTATCTAATCATGATGATTCTTTTGAATATTACAGAGAATTGATATAACCAATACCAACTAATTTGAGATTAAACATACTTGATTAAATTGATTGATCACATTGAAATAATCAGGGGAATGGAATTTGAGATCCAACATTTTCTTGTCAGGTAACATAATCCAATGTTTAATAACCTAAGAATTGTGTTATTCCACCATCTAACTTAATTGGTTAGTAGTAGCATATAGCATTCACCCTTTTTAGCTATGTGGTTTTACATCTTTCCTATTCATTTTTACTCAATCTCCGACGAACTAAACGTTGAAGTGGAGATTTTTCAATTTAAGAATTAGTAGAACATGTAAAATTAGTAGAACATTTTTACATGTTGTGTCTTTGTTTTTTTTTTCTTGTTGTTATTGTTGGTTGCTTCCTTTTTACTATTTCTTGAGCCTAGGGTCTATCGAAAACAACCTCTCTAGCTTCACAAGGTAGGATCAAGATCTGCGTACACATTACGTACCCTCCCCAGACCCCATTGGGTTTTTTGTTGTTGTTGTTGTTGTTATCATATATGAATTTCATTCGATGGGAGAATTGCTCTTTTGACGATTAGCAGTTGCTGGAAAAAGCAATAGACAAGCTGTAACAAACCAGTTTTCCAGTACTTGTATTACTTCAACAGTGACAAGAAGTTACAACTCAACTCAAAACTATTACAGGAATTAGAGATACTAAATTGAAATACAAAGGATAGAGAAGAAAGGATGAGAAGCTATTGAGAATGGAGAGAATCAGAGAAAGGGAGACGAGGAGAAGCAGACGCTTTTCTTCACAATAGGCATAACCCCCAATATCACTAATCATATCCTTTTTAACAGTTCAGTTCTTAGGCCAATACTCAACCCAGATCCCATATAAATCTGGCCCAATTACTTGTTCTCGGCCCAATAGCTCTTCTCAACCCAACAGCTATTTTTGTACACAAGATTTATAAACAGGAACTCCTTAGGACCATATGAAATAGAATAAAGCAGAAGTAGTTTAACAAATTACTCTGTGCAGGAAATTCATTACCAAGATTTACAGCCGTTTTTGGATTTTCCTGAAGCAGTGTCAGGAAGGGGCATCTAGTGGAGTGACTGGAATTATTAGTTTGTCAAAATTATTATATTCCAGTGGAAGGATTGCAATAATACCAGTTATTTGACTTTTTCATCAATTGCATATTTTCGTTTGTGGAAATTTCAAATATTTGGACTTTGGTGGTTGATCAGTTGGGAAAGTTTGGTTGTATTACTGGTCTGGTGGAATTTTCAAAGACTGTTTTTTTATTTTGTTTTCTTCTTCTTTTCTGAGATGATCTGATAAGCACATTGATATTAAATATATGAACACTTGAATGTTCCTTTGAGAGTGCATCTCTTCCTTTGACTTGTCAATAATCTTTCAAAACAGGTACTCGAGAATGAAGATATTGTTGGTTGATTTAGTTCTCTTGTTTTTGTACTTTTATTTAGTTAGCTGCAATAACACTAGTTCAGATGCCTTGTTGCCTGGCAGTTCCCTTTCCTTTTCTGGAGGAGATACATTAGTATCCAAACTAGGGAAGTTTGAACTTGGTTTCTTCTGTCCAGGTAATTGTGATAAGCTCTTTATTGGCATATGGTATTCAAACATAAAAACCAAAACTGTGGTTTGGATAGCAAATAGGGACAACCCCGTTCGCCCTCCATTCAATAATTCTCATCTAGAGCTGACTGATGGAAACCTACAAACTCTTAGATACACTTAAACAAAGAGTTTGGAGTACTAATGTATCCATAGCTTCAAAAGAAGATGTCAATAGGGCAGTACTTCTTGACTCTGGAAATTTAGTTTTGACAAATGGCATTGAGATAAAGTGGCAGAGTTTTGATTATCCAACAGATACATGGCTTCCTGGTGCAAGGATTGGATTTGATAAGAGCAAGAACACACTCCAGAAACTTACTTCTTGGAGGAATATGAATGATCCGGCTACAGGAAAGTACTCTTTGCAATTAGACCAGAATCAAAATGGTGAGTTAGTACTACTAGATAACCGCGGGGAAAACTGGAGGAGTGGGCCTTGGGACGAAGGAGGGGTTGCTTCTCTAGCTGAAAGAAAGGGTGTATTCAACTTCAGCTATGATCCAACTAAAGATAGTAAATATATTACTTTCAATGTCTTTGGTGAATCAGGTTTTGTCCGTATACAAAATGTAAAACTTCCCTCGTCATCTGAATCAATGCTAGTGGGGAATGATCAGGTCTGTGAACATATATGTTTGTCTGATTGCTCGTGTAATGCTTATGCTTACAGTAGGTGGACAGTGCTTATTATGGAATGGCGATCTGTTCGATCTGAAAAGAATACTTAACAATTCAAGTCAAGTAGAGCTCAACCTTAAGCTTTTTGAGAGCTCCAACAAAGGTTAGCTGCTTCCAAGATGTATCTTCAAGCTGTATCTCGTTCTAATGTGTGCTTCCCTTTAACTGAAAAAATGGTATTTTCCTCCTTTCTTGATCTGCCTTATTGTTTAGGAAAGAAGAAACCACTGTTGGTAGCACTAGCAGCATCCATCACTTCAGCAATATTTGTCTGTGGTACATGCTGTTACTTTCTATGGAGAAGAAATCTCAGGGAAAAAGGTACATCTCTTTCTTTTAGCATCTATCTCTGTGCTTTATGAACATACTCCATGCTCGTTGTCAAATCCAAATCTTTCTACGTATAGTCTATGCTCATTAACAAATCCTAATCTTTTTGGAATGTCGTTAATTTTCGTGTGACATTCTAATTCTTAATAGTTGCAGGTTGAATGATTTAAGTCAATTCTACCTGACATAACTGCAGGGGGTCTATCAAAATTTAGCTTTGGTTTAGTTGATCATGGAAAGGAAACTGTATTCTCATTGTCTATGAGAATAATGGACTAGATAAAAAGTTAAAACTGCGTATTTTCGGCTTCTTCTAAACTAATCTATACCCTTACCTTATTTCAGGGATTTTGAGAAAGAAAAAGTTCAGGGAAATGTTACTTTCTGAGTCAGCAACTAACTTGGCAAAACCTGAACATTCCAGTAATAAGGGACAAGAAAAGAAAAGTGACATTGAACTGAAGTTCTTTGAATTACATGACCTGAAAGTTGCGACGGACAATTTTTCGCTCGACAATAAGCTTGGAGAAGGAGGTTTTGGGGCTGTTTTTAAGGTATTGCTTCTACATTAGAGAATATATTAACAACCTGAATATCTGCAACACCAAAATCTCCTCACGCTTAAGGAACATGGAAAAAGCCCCTCTTGAAATGACCAGATGCATACTGGTTTAAACTTACGTCTTTTTCATATAGAGTTTTCAAGGTGTGATAAATTAGTAGTTTGCAATTTCTAGGGTCAATTACCAGATGGGCAGCAAATAGCTGTGAAAAGGCTATCAACTCAATCAAGGCAAGGTATAAGTGAATTCAAAACTGAGGCCCTTCTCATTGCAAAACTCCAACACAGAAATCTTGTTAGGTTCTTTGGCTGCTGTGTAGAAGACGAGGAGAAAATGTTGATATATGAATACATGCCAAATAAAAGTCTAGACTATTTCATATTTGGTATGATTACTTATCACCTGATTTTGTGTTAACTCTTTCTTCCTGTCAAATAGTGCTTACTGGATAAATTTGATATGAACCACTTAGACGAGAGCAGGAAGTCGTTGCTTGATTGGAAAAAGCGGCATGAAATCATTATTGGAATAGCTAGAGGGATACTCTATCTTCATCAGGACTCAAGACTGAAAATAATACACCGGGATCTGAAACCCAGCAACATTCTTTTGGATGAAGATATGAACCCCAAGATATCCGATTTTGGTACTGCTAGAATATTTAGTGGAAACCAAAATGAAGCTAAGACTCTTCGAGTTGTTGGAACATAGTAAGCAAACAAATACTAGAAAGGATTTTTCCATCACATCCTTACCATTTACCAATACTTTGCATACTCATTATAACCCCTTTTCTATGCAGTGCCTATATGTCACCTGAATATGCTCTAGCTGGTTTGTTCTCTGTAAAATCCGATGTCTTTAGCTTTGGCGTTATGGTATTGGAGGTCATTAGTGGAAAAAAGAACAGGATATCTCATGACAGTGATTCCCCTCCAAATTTGATACGGCAGGTAAATTTTAAAGATGCAAGCATTTGAATCTTTATCTATGACTAAAAATCATTATTCATTTCAATGAACTCCTGCTTCAGGCCTGGGAACTGTGGAATGACGGTATGGCCTTTGAGCTGATAGATCCAACAATAGTTGATTCTTGTACCAATGAGGAAGTACTACGCTGTATTCAAATAGGACTATTGTGTTTGCATATCGATGCAGCACACAGACCAACGATGTCATCAATTCTGTTCATGCTAAGTAATGAGGCAACAGTTCCCTCCCCGAAGCAGCCATTGATTACCCTTACCTCCAAATTGAATACTACAGAAACAACATCATCTTCGATCAATGAGGTGACAATTACAGCACCTGATGTTCGTTAGTTGTCTGATATGTTTATCTATTTCTGTTATATGTTGACCAAACATTCAAGTTGGCAGTACTTCCTAAAGTATGAGGTAATCTTCCATGACTCAATGCATTAAATTAGAATAGAATTTGATATAATAAATGATTGTAACATGACAACTGCTCTTCAAAGGAAACAATGACATATTATTTTGATTTCAGGCACAAAGAGAGATTGAAACTTCAATGCTCTTATATCATGAACTTACCTTTATTGTTATACCCGATTTATATATCTATCTCATAAGTCATAATCCTTTTTCCAAAAAAAAATATCTATATCATAATCTTACTCCGAAACAAAAGTCAAAATCTTAAAGCAACGCTTCAAAAGATTACTTACCTATTGTTTAAGTTGCTCGGACACGGGTGCGGATCTAGAGGCCGGATCCTTCGAGATGTAAATTTTATGATTGTAGGATACGAATCCTAGTACGGATACGGGTGCTGGAGTAAGGCTACAAATAATTCAAATAAAAAAAAAATCTCTAAATTATGAGAAATTTTGTGGAATAATTACGTATAGCTTGTAAAGTGTGCATTTCTTTTTTATTCTCAAGTTATAGATAAGTAAAAGATCGATTTCCTAGATAAGGTATACTACTTTCTTGAAATTTATCCTAGTTTTGGTTCTGATTTCGGAAATTAAATAGTATCTTGTCTCGCATTTTTCCGTCCATCGGGGTTAAAGTACAAAGAGCGCCCTTTAATTCATAGATAGTGGGGTTAAACCATTAAACTTGCTGTTTCCCCCACTATTAGACCATTAAATGAGCTGTTTTCAGAATGGTCTCCCTATTTCCAAATATGAATCTCAAAAAGAAAACATAGTACAGAAAAAAAAAAAACACTATATTTTTTCCAAAATAGGTGTCGAATACAATATTGACTCCAACAATTGATTCACGACTTCTGTAAAACCAAATGTTTCGGAGTCAAACCTTATCTGATATGCATGAAACAATTATAAGTACAGTTTGATATGTATTTCCGAATCCAATCTCTAATTGAGAACCCACAACGTTATATCTGGATCTATCACTGGTAAATGCTTAACATAAACTCTAGCGACCATGAATTGTAGAAATAGACATGTCGTTAACAGTTCCTATACTTGCTGATGAAGACGGTGTAACTGAACCATAATTCTGTGATCTGAATATAAAACTAGGTTCTTTAGGGAAAGGAAGTTTGGTTTCATTGCACAACATGAAGACCACTTCCGACATGGTTGGTCTGTCATCTACAAATGATTGTACACACAAAAGGCCGATGTGGATGCATCTCAAAACTTCATAAGCTTCATATGAGTCCCCTAACAATGGATCAGCAACATCTAAAGCTTTATCATTCTTCCAACAATCCCAAACCTAAAACAGAAACACCAAAATCAACATTTCGATCAATTCCTGCCCTATAAGAGAAACTATAACACCCTAACGAAGCAACTCAAGCTAAAAGTAGAAATTCCGAAGTATAGTTTATGTCTAAGGCCATTGTAAAGTAATATAGGTGATTTCTTGATTTTTGTAGCATATATATGTTGTAGAATTTACTTACATATCCAGCTAAATGTTGAGATTTCTCCTGATCATACTGAGAGTTGTTCTTTCTGCCAGTAATAATCTCCAAACACAGAACCCCGAAACTGAAGACATCAGATTTCGCTGAAAATTGCCCTACCATTGCATATTCAGGTGACATATAGCCACTGCGATCAATCAAGCAATGTCAAAATTTATATTTTAAAACTCAAATGAACACATCTAACAGAACTCTCACATGTGTATGCACAAAACTTGAAACACTTACTACGTTCCAACAACTCGATTTGTGTTTGCTTCAATTTGGTCAACTCCAAAAATTCTGGCCATTCCAAAGTCTGATATTTTTGGTTGCATGGAGGCATCTAGTAAAACATTGCTTGCTTTTAGATCCCTGTGTATAATTCTCAATCTAGAATCTTGGTGAAGATATAACATTCCTCGTGCAATCCCATGGATGATTTCCAACCGTTTTCCCCAATCCAACAAAGACCCTTTTGTTTTATCTAGAACACAGTTTGAAAGTTTATGCATAAGCAATCCATTAGGAAAACACAAACATTCAAGCAGTACTCGTTAATTAACAGTAAGCATGTAAAAACATGTAAAGTTTGATCGTCAAGTTAAGATATCAGGTCCTGGAAATTTCTTACCAAAAATAAAACTATCCAAGGATTTGTTTGGCAAGTATTCATAAACCAACATCTTCTCTCCTTGTTGACTGCAACATCCTAAAAGCCTCACAAGATTTCTGTGCTGGAGTCTTGCAATTAGTGTGACTTCATTTCTGAACTCCTTTGCTCCTTGCCCTGAAGTCACTGAAAGTCTTTTGACAGCTATTACCTGTCCATCTTTCAGATGACCCTGAAGTTGGATCCAAGAATATTATTTGGTAAACTTGGCTTAGTACAACAATTATTACATCTAACTTGGCTTAGTACAAAATTGTAAAGGTCGTGTTGATTGCAAGCATTCAGACATGTTGGAGTCGTTACCTTGTATACGCTACCAAAACCTCCTTCACCAAGTTTGTTAGCAACAGAGAAGTTATCAGTTGCATTACTTATTGTGCTTAGGTCAAAGATTGAGATTTCTGTTTGTTCACTTTCATCCATGGATTCACAGGATGCTAAACTTTTGTTCAATGTATTCGAATGGCTCTTCTTATCTGTACATCAGCAAACACAGATTAGGATCTAATGCAATTTGCAATTACACCCCAGTTTTCATGTGCTTCTAAGGTAATAACATAAAGTGAGGAGAATTAAACACAATGTGGTGGTTTTGAATAATATCCTTACCTTTTCTCCTTTTACTAATCACCAAAAAATATGCCAAAAAGATTCCAAGAATTATTGCTGCAGCAGACCCTAGTAGAATTTTCTTCACTCTTTTCCTGTGATCACTATTTGGGTTGTTCGAGAATTGTGCTGAAAGGAATGAAAAATGAAAACTTTATATGAACACCACGGCTAGATACTATGTATAATATGGATTTAATCACACATATTTAAGTTAAATCCTTACCTAAATCAGATGCAGAGACTCTGCTATAGAAATCTTGGCCCCCATCTGTAAATTGCTTTATGTCTCTCAACTCACCATACCAAGTGATACACCCACTTCCCCCTTCACTAATATTAGCACTTGCATAGGCTGTGCAGGAACAATTTTTCAGACAGAAATGTTCACATTCCTTCAACCCCATGCTTTTGTTCATCAGAGCTGTATCTATATCAGGGATTTTCACATGATTCAATTTGACAAACCCCTCCCCACTATCGCAAACCTTCTCATCTTTCTTCCTCAAGCATCCATGGGAGCCATCTCTCAAGTACCATTGTCGGCTTAGCTTCGGCTCATACCCGGGAAGACAACTACATTCAAATTCACCCAAATTGAACAAATTGCAATTGCTAAATGCTCCACAATGTTCATAATTGTCACATGAGTCCTTAGGTGCAAACCAAAATTGCACCCATTTCCGCTCACTCTCTTGCCAAGTCACCCGGTTCAAGATCCCAGATTCATTCAGGACCATTCTTGAGATTATTGAAGTGTCTTTTATGTGATATGTCATGGAAACCTCGCTATCATTGTCCACATAACTGAGGCTGAAGATGAATCTTGGGCTCATTTCTGGTACACCACTCCAACCATGACCAGTCCAGGATCCTGTCCGCCATATCCTGCTATAGTTCTTATACAAGAATAATTGAGGTGTCCCATTGAACTCCATTATGTAACGATACTCTCCAGTGCCTGGGTCGTTCAATGATTTCCATGATGTTAGAAACCGGTTTAAACCTGTATTTTTGTCTATCCCATATTTCATTGAAGGAAGTAGAGTATTGGTAGGATAATCAAAGCTTTGCCATGCAATAATATCCATTTTCGGGTCCTGAAACAACATGAAATTCCCTGAATCCCACAGCTTAGCACTGTACAAGTCTGCTCCATTCTTAGCTGAAGAAATATTTGTTTTCCAGGCTGAAACTTCCGTTTTCGTGTCGAGTATAACAAGATTTCCGGTAGAGTCAATGGTAAGAATCCCAGATGTACCATTGATGGGGTTGTCTCTATTGGCAACCCAAACAACAGTTTGTTCAGGAACATTGTTGTACCAAACTCCAACGTAACGTTTTCCAGGGAAATTCCTAGCAGGGCTAAAGAAACCCAAAGCAAAGGATTTTCCAGAAGAGATTAATAAATCTCCATCTTTGAGAGAATGGTTAAAGGAGATGGTGTCTATGGAACTGCAAAATGGGACGAGAAATGCAAGAACTATTAAGAGCTCTTTCATGGTTTCTCAAGTGACATAACTTCTTTGTTTAGGTTGATCACAGTTTAAAGTCTAGACCAAAGTAAAGGACATTAAATTTTGCCACACACAAGTTAGATGGACGGGGACCCCATATTCTTAATTAAGCAACTTATTGATGTACAAAATTATTACTTTCTCTTGAATTTTAGAAAATATCTGGAAATGAACAAAAGTGGGGACTTTACGTGAAGGTTATGATTACAATCTTTTGGGATGGCATGGTAGAAGGACTCAGATATGTAAACCGCAGTGTGATTAATGAAAGAAACCGATCGAGTAAATTTAGTGAATAGAACTTCAATCCATATATACTGTTTCGATAAAGACTAGGTTATTGTCATGAGTTCACTTTCAAAATTAACTTGTCGGATTTTGTTTGTGTATAATTAATTGCTAACGTGAGAGACTCGTGAATCCTAGTTAAAAAAAAAAAAAAACGAAATTACAAGTATGGGTTTGTAGAAAATTTGAAGAATAATCAAGGAAATATAATGTTCTTGATCCCTGTGTAATTGCATTATTCTAGTTTTAAACTCTGTATTATTTAATTGAACACAATGAACCTTCAATTAATACAGATTTGCAGCTTTGATCCCATGGACTTGGGTATATTCCAAATATCCCAGAACTCGTTTCATTGCCACCCAGTGATGTTTGTTTGGATTACTTGTCAATCGACTAAGTTTACTTATTGCACAAGCTATATCAGGTCGTGTACAGTTCATGATGTACATTAAGCTTCCCAACACACGAGCATACTCCAATTGAAACGTACTTTCACCTTTATTCTTTATAAGATGATGATTTAAATCAATTGGAGTTCTTGCACTTCTAAATTCCAAGTAAAGCCATTTGACAACATTGTTTGATCAAATTTCGCATGTCATTGCTTGGGTGCTTGTTTTAGTCCATAAAGAGACTTAACAAGTCGACACACCTTCTTTTCTTTTCCCAGAACCACAAACCCTTCAGGTTGGTCCATGTAAATTTCTTCCTCTAAATCACCATTTAAGAAGGTTGTTTTTACATCCATTTGATGGATTTGAAGATCATACAAGGCGGCTAACGCTATTAGCATCCGAATGGATGTAGTTCTTGTTACCGGCGAGTATGTGTCAAAATAGTCAAGACCTTCTCGCTGTCTAAATCCTTTGACAACAAGCCTTGCCTTGTATTTGTCAATAGTACTATCGTCTTTCATTTTCTTTTTGAAAATCCATTTAGAACCCAATGTTTTGTTACCTGGAGGAAGATCAACCAATTCCCATGTATGGTTGCTCAATATGGATTCTATTTCACTGTTGACAGCTTCTTTCCAATATTGTGCTTCTGAGGAAGACATTGCTTCCTTGAAGGTACGAGGCTCATTTTCTAGCAGGAAAGTCAGAAAATCTGGACCGAATGAAGTAGATGTCCGTTGACGTTTACTTCTTCTTGGATTTTCCTCATTAGGCATACCATCTGTTATTTCCTCCCGAGGTCGTTTTGACTTTTGGTAGGTCACTTCACTTTCCTTTTTATACGAATAAATAGTTTCAAAGAATTCAGCATTATCTGATTCTATTATCGTATTAACGTGAATCTCAGGATTTTCTGACTTATGAACCAGAAAACGATATGCCTTGCTATTGGTTACATATCCAATAAATACACAATCAACCATTTTTGGACCTATCTTAACCCTTTTAGGTTTAGGAACTTGTACCTTAGCTAAACACCCCCACACTTTGAAGTATTTCAAGCTGGGCTTCCTTCCTTTCCATTTTTCATAGGGAATGGACTGTATTTTACTATGAGGTACACGGTTGATTATTCGGTTAGCTGTAAGTATAGCTTCCCCCCACAAGTTCTGTGGTAAACCAGAACTTATCAACAACGCATTCATCATCTCTTTCAACGTTCGATTCTTTCTCTCCGCAATTCCATTAGATTGTGGAGAGTAAGGGGCAGTTGTTTGGTGAATAATGCCATTTTCCAAACATACTTCTTCAAAAGGAGATTCATACTCTCCACCCCTATCACTTCTTATCATTTTGATATTTTTGTTTAGTTGTGTTTCAACTTCACTCTTGTATTGCTTGAAAGCATCAATTGCCTCATCTTTACTATTAAGTAAATAAACATAGCAATATCTTGTGCTATCGTCAATAAAAGTAATAAAATACTTTTTCCCACCGCGAGATGGTCTTCATGTCACAAATATCTGTGTGAATTAAGTCTAAAGGACTTGAATTCCTTTCAACGGACTTATAAGGATGCTTAGCATACTTTGATTCCACACATATTGACATTTGGAACTAATGCAATCAAATTTTGGCAGTACGTCTAAATTTATCATTTTTCGCAATGTTTTGAAGTTGACGTGACCTAAGCATGAATGCCATAAAGTGTTTGACTCAAGTAAGTAAGAAGAAGCATTAACTTTATTGATAGGAACTGTTATTACATTTAGCTTAAAAAGGCCCTCATTCAGGTAACCTTTTCCTACATACATATCATTCTTACTTAGTACAACACTATTGGAAACAAAATTACATTTAAATCCATTCTTGACAAGAAGTAAGATAGACACAAGATTCTTGCGAATTTCTGGAACATGGAGAACTTGGTTTAGAGTCACTATTTTTCCCGACGTCATCTTCAACGCAATCTTGCCAACTCCTTCAATTTTGGCTGTAGACGAATTTCCCATGAAAATTGTCTCGTCGGGTCCTGCGGGGGCATAAGAAGAAAATAACTTCTTGTTAGCGCAAACATGGCGGGTGGCTCCAGAATCTATCCACCATTCTTTAGGATTTCCTACCAAGTTGCATTCAGACAACATGGAACACAAGTCCTCCATTTCTTCAGCATTTTCAACTATGTTAGCTTGATTCTTCTTCTTCTTATCATTCTTTGGTGCACGACAATCCACGGCCTTATGTCCAGATTTTCCACAGTTGTGGCAATTACCCTTGAACTTTTTCTTGCTTGGGTAATTCTTTGGTCCAGAAGCCTTCTTTATCTTCTTATTTTGTGGCGCCTCCTCAACAATATTAGCCCTTATTATTGTCGAGTTTCCACGTGACTTCTTTTCAGCATTTTTGTTGTCTTCTTCTATCCTCAAACGAACAATCAAGTCTTCTAGTGTCATTTTCTTCCGCTTGTGTTTAAGATAGTTCTTAAAGTCCTTCCACAACGGAGGTAACTTCTCAATGAAAGCAGCGACTTGAAAGGCCTCATTTATGACCATACCTTCAGCAAGGAGGTCATACACAATGACTTGTAATTCTTGGACTTGAGTTATGACCGACCTCATGTCAATCATCTTGAAATCCAAAAACCTTGCAGCCACGAACTTCTTAAGTCCGGCATCCTCAGTCTTGTACTTTTTCTCAAGCGCATTCCATAACGCTTTTGAAGTTTCCATAACACTATAGACATTGTACAAGCTATCTTCCAAACAACTCAAAATGTAGTTTTTGCACAAGAAATCAGAATGCTTCCATGCTTCAGTTACAACAAATCGTTCATCATCCGGAGTGTCTTCAGCCAGGACCGGAGGATCCTCCTTGATAAATCGCTGCAAACTCAACGTAGTAAGATAGAAGAGCATCTTCATTTGCCAGCGTTTGAAGTCGATACCGGAAAACTTCCCGGGTTTTTCTGCTGGTGCCATAGCATGAGCAGGAGTTGAACGGCTTGACGAGGCAGCAACATTCGTAACAGTAGCACCCGTTCCCGCAACATTTCCATTAGTTTGGTTTTCATTCGTCATTTTTTCTGTAAAGTTGGAAACAAAACAGAACTTTGTTAAATCAGTGAAGTTTTGATATTTTCAAACTGAATACCAAACCAAACATACAACACGTAACAATGGTGAAGTTTTTATATACTTCAAACCCGTACGTTTATTATTCCGGTAAAGTTTTGATATACTTTATACCGGATAGAACAATTATTGGAGTAGAAAGCACGGAGGCTTTAGTCTCCAAACCAGTATACAAAATATAAATAACAGTTTAATATATATTTCAACACAGAAACGTTAGTATTAAAATTCCTTAAGCTTGTAATCCGCTACTGTGTTAAAACACAAAATCAAAAACCTGTTAGAAGAATAAAAGAAACTGGAAAACAGTAAAGAATAAGAAATATTCCGAGTCCACAATTTGCTTGTGCGTCTAAGGAATTTTAACCCCCTCACACGTTGCCAAGGTAATGGATTAAATCCTCCCAGGATGAAACGGAATAAACCTTCCTGCAACAGTGGCAATACAAACTGCAGGATCCCAACGAACTAAAAAAACGGAGCAAAATCACACTTACAAATTTGAGAGATAGAGACTGTGAATTAGAATGCAGTATTTTCAGAAAGAAGAAAGTTTTGTAATTTTTCAGTGTGTTAAAAACGAAGCAATGCCTCAGAATTTATAGGCAATTATTGGAAGAGGTGTGATGTTTGTTCTGGAAAAGGTGTCTGTTCAGAAGTTTGCACGTCCTGCCGCGGTTACGCCAGGACCGCGGCCAGAATGGCCTTCTGAATCTGCAGCAGTGTTCTAGCACGGTCCTACCGCGGTCACGCCCGGACAGCAGCTAACTAACTGACATTTAATTAATTATTAAGTAATTAATTAAATAAATTTTGTCCAAAAATAATCTTATCGATCGTTTGACAAATCCAAATCCAAATCCAAATCCGAGCCCAGCGAGCGAGCGAGCGACGGCGCGAGGGTTCATTCTCTTCAACTCCTTTTAAGAGCTTTAAGAAGTGATTCTATATATATACACACAAATGTAGTTGTCCCTCACCAATGAGGGACAAAGTTCAAGACAAAAGCTCACTTCATTCAAATTTTCATTTCCCTCCATTTTATTTCCCACCATTTCCAATTCACACTCTTAGACTTTAAAGTCCAATGCTTAAAGTCTTTGAAGCCCAATGCTTTAAAGTCCAACATCATCTACCATCTAAGACAGCTGATGTGCGCAGGCGTCTAATCCCCAAATTCAAAATAACTTTTGGGTTTGAAGCTACAGAGGTTCTAATAGGACTTGGCCTTGCACATCCTTTCTATGGTAATGGTCTCGCTGAGATAGTGGACGATAATGACACTCTGTTTGTAGCAAAAGTTTTTCACAAGTCGTTTATTGAAGTCAATGAGGAAGGTACAGAAGCTGCGGCAGTTACTGCCGCTACAATGATGATTGGGTGCTCAGGTGTGATGATTAAAGAGGAGCCGATAGATTTTGTTGCTGATCATCCCTTCTTGTTCCTTGTGAAAGATGATGCTACTGGTGTTGTTTTGTTCATAGGGACTCTGTTGAATCCTCTTAATCAATTTTAGTTAGTTATATCGATGTTACGTTTATTTTAGTAGTGCTTTCAATTTATTGTAATGACATAACTTGTGTCTCAGTTTGTTTGTACTGCAAGTCCACGTTATTTAATTTCGTCACTTGTTAGTATATGCTCCCTCCGGTTCAAGTGATCAATTTGTTTTTTTATTTTGGTCCAAAATAAGTGTCATTTATATAATCAAGAAAAAATTCAATTTGTTTTTTCAAAATTACCCTTATATATGCATCCCTAAAAAGTCTTTTACTCCTCATATTTGAAAAGAGAAATAAGTGCTACTATAACTATGGTGCAACATTTAATGAAGGGTAGTTTAGTTATACTAACTATTTTCGTCTAGAGTTTAGTAGTTCCTTAATGGGTGTGTCCAAAGCAAATTGTTCATTTATTGTGGACCGGAGGGAGTAAGTATTTGTCATGCTACACATTTAACCCATAAAATTTTAACCTGCCCCGCATAGCATGTTCACCCGCATCCATCCGCCCTGTCCCGCCCCACTCCGCTAATTTTTTTATTTTTATTTTTATTTTTTTAGCTTTGAATTTTCTGCTCAAGCTTTTTAAGTTAGTTAATTATATTTACTTTCATTAGACTAATTCATTTCTTTGGTATATATCAAATGGAATGTTTCTTTTAAGATTTTAAATTTGGGTTACATTTATGATTAGAGATATTTCGGTTGCTTCAGTTGTATCTTGCTAAAGAATATGCTACAGCTATTAGGAGTTTAACCCATAAAGAAAAACAGAAAATAATTAATGCCAATGAATTACATAAATGAAACAAATCAAAGAACTATTTTTAGAAGAAATTTTTTGGCGTTTCCTTGTTTCATTGTCAAAGTATACTTGTTAATTTATGTTCTGCTTTTTGTTTCTTCTGGGGGTGGGGTGGGGTGGGGTGGGGGTGGGTTGTGGTGTGTTCGAGGGGAGGGGGTTGGATTTTAAAATAGCCAGCAATAGAATTTCTGTAGAATAGATTCATCTATTTCTTAACTTTATGTCAGGATTTGAACCCGCACTCGCCCCACACCGCGAATATTTTTATTTAAAAAAAGTGAACTCGCCCCGCCCTGCCCCAGCAACTGCACATGCACATGTATGGGTCAAATCTGACCAGACAAGAATCTGCGAATATTTTCATCTATGTACTCTTCATTGTTGTTTAATGTTATGAAAATCACCATCCTCTTCTTATATAATGGGATTTAATTAATGCTACGGTTAAATCTTATGTTGCTTTGTTTGCTTACTCCTATCTTCTATCTTAGATCGAGGGTAAATTATCTTTGGTTAGAATTTACCTAAAATCTTCTTATTTAATTGGTTCAACAAAAAATCTAAATCATTTTGGTGGAACAGCACAATCCTGCACCGCCCCAGCATAGGTTCAAACTTGCCTCGCCTCGCCTCGCACTGCCCATTGCCGTCCCTAGCTGTATATAAGTTAATTCAGTTAATTCGGCAAAAACTTCCGTTTGAGGACTGAGATTAATGTTTATTCAACGAATAAGAATGTACTACATAAAACATATATTGCATAACAGGAAATTAAACGCATCGAAAAGCAAATAAAAATAAAACCATGACGGTATAGAAACTTCTTCTGGTTAGAATTTTTTTTCCTTTGAGAAAAGATAAATGAAAAATCAGAAACTAATTAACTTTTTCTTGTCTCCAACAACTAGCCTATTTCATAATAGTCTAGTGATTTGCCTACCTTCATAAACTCATCGTAGAATCAAAATTTAATTCGATTGAATTTAACTATTTTTACTTTAATTGTCAATTTTTTTTTCCTCGAAACCATTCATCTATTAATATCTAAACGCTGAGATATGTCCAAAGGAGCGTACAACCTCATTTACAATCCAATTTGGGAATATACTTTCCCAAGACACACCATGTACTAGAGAAATTGAGAACTGCGCTAAGCTATGAGCAATAAAATTAAATATCCTAGGAATATATATATAAAAGAAACATGCTCAAGGTTTGAAGTCATGTTCCAAATATCTTTACATACCACTTCAACATCCCAAGAAGCCTTCACACTTTTCTTCAACATATCGACTATCCCTTTTGCATCAGAGAAAATATGTATTTTCCTCCATTCATTTTGAATAATAGCCTTCCTAATTACAAACGCCTCAGCAATCATGACCTTCCCAAGGGTGGCAAAAAACTGTGTTGAAAAAAAAAAAAAAAAAAAAGGGTCAAATTCCTTGGAGAGTTTAAATTCTAACGGAGCCAAGAAATAATAATAGCAGATGATTTCTTCGCATACTTAATTTGAGTATACAAACTTACCTGATTAATAGTAAATATTATTCCCATGTCTAAGTTTTATTTAGTGGCAAAAACTTCATGATATTTGTGACAAACTAATGAAAGAGAGTTAACCTCAAAACTTGAAAAAACAATTATTTTTTCTTTGATTACGTGGTCACCTCGCTGATGCTGTAGAAAAGGAACAAGTTCCATACTTCTATGCTAAGTATTGACTTCAACTCTGTTCAAACTTTAAACGTGTCTCAACTGCACTATCTCTTTCTTGTTTGACTCTTCAAAATCTTCACACAATCACAGAAATATCCAAATAATCTCCATAGCAATGGACCTTCAAGAATCGATCAGCAACCAAACAGGCGTATCCTTAACATTAGCGAAACATGTTTTTGCAACCGAGGTTAAAGGGGATAACAACATGGTCTTTTCCCCTTTGTCGATCCACGTAGTGTTGGGTCTAATCGCAGCGGGTTCAAATGGTCCGACCCGTGACCAGTTGCTCGCTATCCTCAAATCCAAATCTACAGATGAACTCAACTCTCTCTCTTCTCAGCTTGTTGATGTTGTCTTTGCTGATGGTAGCCCCAGTGGTGGGCCTCGTTTGTCCATTGCTAATGGGGTCTGGGTTGAGCAGACTTTGCCTTTGAAGCCTTCTTTCAAACGGATTGTGGACAATTTTTATAAAGCTGCTTCTGTTTCTGTTGATTTCCAGAATAAGGTAAGATTTTTAAGCCCCGATTTTAACCGTTGCTTAGTTACTTCAGTAGAGTAGGATTATTTCAGTTTTTCCTCTTTTTTTGGAGCTGAGATTACTATTGGGTTCGAAATTTAATATTGTATGTATTTAGTAGATATGTTAACACATACACCGGGAGCCAAAGCTAGTGGGTTCGACTGAACCCTCAGCTTATACTATGCATCCCACCCACCCCCCACCCCCGGGTCTGGTTATGGATCAAGCTACATTTTGAGAACTTCTACTTCTATAAAACCCTAATTTGCCTCAAAAATCAAATTATTTTGTAAAAGGATTAGATGTAGGTGATTCATAAAGCTGACGGTAACTATATGGGACTGAGTAATTAATCAATTCAGTTATGAAATGCTTGATGGGATAATTATACTACGAGGAAATCTGTTGTATCATTTGAGTTTGTGAGTTCTTACAGGCAAATTTCATTGCCATTCAGGTCCAAGCACTTTTTTTTCCAATTTCTGTTTCCTTTTTTTTCGAAATACTTTAACTTACGGATTGGTCATACTTATCAAAGATTAAGCTTTATTTAGAAGCTGATATCCGGTTAGGAGGTGTATACAATATAGATTGAAATACTATAAAGTTGAGTAGCAGTATCACTGATTTTGATCTTTGTAAACTGTTAAGTTAGCTTGGTAAAGTAATGTGGTGAATGGATTGTGAACTAGGACATTGGAAGTAACAATTTGATGATAAAATCTTCCTACTCCAATGGAGCTAGGGTTTTGGTTACTGTGAATTCTCGACCTTCAAATATCTTTTGTTCAGTAGGACCAGCCAAAGCTGTCCTGTTTACTTTTTGTTACGCATGAAATTCAGTGCGCTTAATGTTTATGCTCGAGGGATTTGCATTATAAAACTTTGTGCTTTTCATCTTTTGGCATTGAAAACTTAGGGATTTGGTACACACAACGATAAAGCCAAAGGTGTAAAACAATTTTGTTGCGCCTTTAGCTTTATCTGTGTGTAGCTTTTTCTCTATGAACAGATGGGGTTGAATTTGTGCATTTAAATGATTGATGAACAGTAGGCCAATGAATGGTTTCTCACACATTTTCATTATGCTTATCATTAACTATGATCTCAAATACTGATGTATTGCTGCATTCACCGGAGATTGAAGTAGTTCTACTTCTACATTCATTGCATAAGAAACTGGCTATACTCTTCTAACTTTTCTGTTTCCCTGCAATCTTAGGGTGGATAGTTCTACTAACCTATGAACTTTAATCACCCAGCACCTGCAGCTGAGTCAGAAAATAAAGTAAAGGAAAACTAAAAAGAATCCTTTTGCATATATTTTATTATTAAATTTTGATGATTTGTAGGCTGTTGAGGTTGCCAATCAAGTGAATCAATGGGCTGAAAAGGAAACAAGCGGGCTTATCAAAGAAATTCTTCCAGCTGACTCAGTTGACAGTGCAACAAGACTTGTGTTTGCAAATGCATTGTACTTTAAAGGAGCCTGGGATGAGAAGTTCGATGCATCAGTGACTAAGGACAATGAGTTCCACCTTCTCAATGGGACCTCTGTTCAAGTGCCCTTCATGACTAGCAAGAAGAAGCAATACGTAAAAGCTTTTGATGGTTTCAAGGTTTTGGGGCTTCCTTATAAACAGGGTGAAGATAGGCGTCGTTTTACCATGTACTTCTTTCTGCCTGATGCCAGTGATGGACTGCCAGCTTTGGTAGATAAGGTCAGCTCTGAATCCCAATTCTTGGAGCGTCACCTTCCATATCAGAAGGTTGGAGTGGGTGAATTTCGTATCCCCAAATTTAAAATATCGTTTGGATTTGAAGCTTCTAACATTCTGAAAGGGCTTGGCCTGGTATTGCCTTTCTCTGGTGATGGCCTAACTGAGATGGTGGACTCCCCTGTTGGCAGTAACCTTTATGTTTCTAGCATTTTCCACAAGTCCTTTATTGAGGTAAATGAAGAGGGA